ATCCTATGTCAATAATTCAACAATGATTCTTGTAATTTTAAAAAAGAACTCTATTTTCACAAACCTTCTTGTACATCCAGTAACATCCAGTTTATATTATAAATTGGGAACTTAAATAAAAAGAATTTTTATAAGAAATGTTGCTTTATTAATTAATTTCCTAAACAAAAAAATTAACACATACCTACATAAATTAACACAAAAATAACATACACACAATTAAATAACAAACCATTCAGAAATCATGAAATTACATATAAAGACATTTGGTACAATATAATTATCAGTATTACTACAATACTTACTGATGTATTTTGTAACTTTAACCCACTTTACTGTATCCCCTAATTTCAGTTTTAAGGATACTTTGCACACTCGTTAAATAGGTATAAGAAATCCAAATAACAATAATAACAGAATTCTGGTAATATATCATAAACACTCTGGACAGTTGTTAAACACACGTTACGAATTAGAATAAAGTAAGCAGAAACATAAGTTGCACACGCTGAAGTCAGTTGAACTTGTTAATGCGCATTGTTGTGGGAAATGTTTTGGTTGGCCTAAAATTACATGTACTTTTTTAACAAAATAATTTGTTAATAAAATGCCTACAAAATTGCATGTAATACAAAACTTTCGGTAAAATATTTTACTATATTAAAATAATTACAAACCCTGGTTGAAAAATTATGTTAAAATTTTACAAAATAAAATTAACAAACTACAAACTCATGTTAACAAATCTAATCTACAGGTATGTACTATTATAGTAGGGTGTTCGTTATTAACCAAGTTGTTTTTTTTTTCGCAGCGCCTCCTACATTTTTAGTTTATGACCTAAGAAAATTAAAAAAAAAAATATTCATATTAAATCGTGCCACAAAGACAATACATTTTCCATTTAAATAACATGGGGTTTCGGCAAGTTTTACATTTTTTTTTTTTTCTCCCAAACAAGCTAATAAACATCAATAAGAGACACATGTTTTATAGGAAATTAAACGGTGTACAAAAAAGCATTCATATGATTTTTGCATAAATTTACTGATTTAAAATTATTTAAGGTTAAAGATAAACTTATAGTAATTTTTTCGATTATTTTACTTTGACTGCAAAATTATAATTATTTTTATGAAAATTAATTATTTATTTTTGAAAATGTGTGATTTTATTGTATTATTGAAAAAATAAAAATTATTGAAGAAAGATACCTAAGTAAAAATTATTGACAAGGGATTCCGATAAATTAAATTTTTTTTATTACATTAAACGAATCTGGTACCAGTTTTACTCAATTTTAGCACGATTACTTTTTTACATAATCTTTTTATTTCTGTAAAATTCTACAAAATTTTATACGATTTTATACAATATTATACAATAAAAAGTTTTCCTAACAAAATAAAACCCACACATTTAGATAAATATTCGTTAAAATCCTGATAAATTACCAATTTTTTATATTTCATTTATATTTTATATTTTTAATTATCCCGACGCATTCACCATTTTTGACAAAACCATATAACATCAAACAGTAAGCAAACACAGTTGCGCCACGTTTTAAAGGTTTTGAGAGGGTGTTTAGTATGCATTTTGCATAAGATTAAATTTTAAAGGTGAGCTTATCAACAATTTTCGGTACCGTGAACTTTTGATAAATCTGACAATGTGTACATACGTTGATGAAGTGCCCGCAACTTTGTTTGAATACACCTATTTATAATGCTCTCAACAACTAAAAACTAAAACAAAAAGAAGAAATTACTATATTTGGTACAAGGCTATAAAATGTTATTTTATCGTCGACTAAAAAAGATAAATCAAGAGCAATAAATCGCGAGTGAATGAATTTTAGGCGACGCTAATGGGATTTCATCTGTACCTCAAAGCCAAACTGTATTTCACTTTTTTTAAACCATGATACTTGATACATACAGAACTTAAGCAAAAAATATAATGCAATTTTTAAATAGGGGACAATTAACCCACTAAACAATTATTTTCCGTTAATAGAGGTTAAAGTGTTAGTTAACTTATGTATTGCAATAAATTTATTTTTAATGATAAAAAATTACTGAACATAAAAATTGTATTAAAATGGATGTAAACGTATTTAAATCCATATAAATTAACTAACTGTTTGATAAACATATTTTACCAATTATCTATTTTTTTTCAAATTTGTAAGTTAGTCAATTGCAACAACAAGATTTGTATTAAAATAAATAGTTATTTAAATTAGATGTTATAAGCGGTATAATTGTATATTATCCACTCCTATTGTAGAATATTGTTTTTCCATGAATAATAATAATCATTATAAATCCCCTGCCTAACAATCGGGTTTTAAATTGGATCAAGATGACTATAATAACATTTAAAATTGGTAAAAAGTAAGGTTAAGTATTTGTTAGATGTTACCAATTTATTTTTGAAAATTATTAATTATCTACTTATTGGAGTAGATAAAATATGGTATTACACTAGAGATTTTGCGCATTATCTCTCGTATAAGAGATAATGCAGGCATATCGTAACATTCGATTTATTTGTCAAGCAATGGGACCATTAAACAACTTGAAAAACATAATCATAAAACGTGGAGTTAGATGCAGACTTTGGACTTGAAGTTGTAAGCTTGTACGCTCATAATGCAAACGTGACTCAGGCTCTTTAGTGTCTCTTTCTCCTCCCACCTTTAAAACGCCCATTATGTTTATGTTTACATGACACTAAGTGACCTTTTAAATACACATTGAAAAGTTGTGGCTTTATGGCGTTTTAGTCACGGGCTGAAGTTAGTTGACGGCTCTCAAATGGCATACAATGGTTAAAAAAAGTGCTCGTTTTGTAAAATAATACGAAATTTAAAAATTATTTTATTATCTTAATATAAAAATACAAAAGTATTAAATAGTTTCTCAACGGCAATATTTAAAAAGTTTATATTTAGTTGTGCTGACCTTTTGATTTCTCCGGCAATAAACTAGATTTAACTGATTTTGGGTAAAAATTCCACTTTTACTGCTTTTACTGCTACTGCTTCTGCTTCTATAAGATTTAGTTAGTTAATTTTTAAGTGATAAATTTAGTTTCACACGTAAAAAATTGACATTTGACATCCTAAACAGAAAACAAGTTCATTTATTTCGAAGCATAGATACAATACTTATATATACCGGGTGTATCTGAGAATAGACGCACCCCTGAAACTTTTTTATTTATTACACTGAAAGAAATTTATGTTTCATATATGGACTACCACATACATTGCTAAAACAAACATATAATATATTTACCTTAACCATTTTTATATTTAGTTTTAACATATTATGTTAAAACTAAATATAATATATGTTTGTTTTAGCAATGTATGTGGTAGTCCATATATGAACCACAAACATTGCTAAAACAAACATATATTTCTTTCAGTGTAAGATAGACACATGAAATTTAGCACGGTTAATTAGGATATAAAATGCCACTTATACAAAATGAATTTTTTGTACTTCCGGTTTCGCCGAAATTGATACCAACTTTCGAATTTTAAATGGATGCCCTATATATTTTTACATATTTGGAATCCTGAGGAAATTCTGAGTCAGACAGCATCCAAATTGACCTTTTGACGTTTCGTCATCAGAAAATGTATCAACATAAAGATCAATCTAGAGTGCTTTGAACTATCTTATTTTCTTCTAATGAATTCGCACAATGCCTGAAAAATGGAACTTGCCTTAAAAAGATGTTATTCAGCTATTCCCAGCAGTCTAAACTTGTCAAAATTCGTTTTTCTCAAATAGTTCAAAGCACTCTAGATTGATCTTTATGATGATGCATTTCTTGATTACGAAACGTCGAAAGGTCAATTTGAGGATCCTGTCCGACTCAGCATTTTTTCAGGATTCTAATTATGTAAAAATATATAGGGGGTTCCATTAAAAAATCGAAAGTTGATATCATTTCCGGCAAAACCGGAAGTTCAAAAAATTCATTTTGCACTTTTATAAGTGGCATTTTATATCCTAATTAACCATGCTAAATTTCATGTGTCTATCTCATAAATAAAAAGTTAGAGGAAGGCGCCTATTCTCAGATACACCCGGTATAATACATACTTACAAATTAGTATATACTAATACCAGGTATTAAATACCAATATTCATATCAATTTCCCGGGAAGTGCCTAACCATAAATGGTTGTTTTGCATCTTCCCTAGAAATAAAATTTTAATATTTAATTTTTTTATGAAAATAGTTGGCGTGTATTATTAGATAAGACAGAATGCAATCAAATATATTAAAATAAGTTTAATATAAAAAAATAAGAAAAGAGAAAACAAGAAAAAATACATATAAATATCAAACCTCAGCAACATTCAAATAAAGCATTGCAGAAGTGTTTGTTTTGCAAAAAGAAGGCTTTTATATCTATTTTAAATTTATCAAGACTTTTAATATTTTTAATTGCGGTGGGAACGGCGTTGTATAGTTTGGGACCAAAGTAGAAAATAGATCATTGCAGATGTGTCTTTTTATATAAAGGTATAACCACTTCATTATTTTCTACTCCTCTTGTGTGATATTTATTTGAAGTCTTAATTTGATTTGTTCCTTGCATCCATATTATTCATTGTAATTTATAGAGATTTCTAATATTCAACGTGTTAGAATGGTTAATCTATTGTTTTAAAGATGTCGCTCTATAGAAATATTTAATTTAAATCATTTTTAGATAATAATAAGTATTTGTCGAAGAAAAAGTATAGTATGAAATTCGTTTATAAACTTTTCTAGACACTCATTTAACTTATACGCATATAGTTCTTTTCTTTACGATTTTCTTCATAATGAAGTAAGTTTTAGGGCTGTGGGAAAATCTTCCCATTAAGAATACGAAAAAATAAATTCATAATTCATTTAAATTTTGTTGTTTTTAATTTAATATTTACCCTTACTTTATTAGTAGGAATAACAATTTTATTTTGTTACAGATTATGAATTTATATACAAAGACGCACAAGGAGGAATTACCTTATACAATGCGGATAATTTAACAACCAGCATTATTATGACGAATTCAACTTTTGTAAGTATTAAATTAGCATAAAAAATAAAAAAAGGATAAAAATGTCAGATACAACTTAAATGGTTTGCCGGTTTTCCTAAATTTTTAAATATGTTTTTTTATTTCAGAGACAATACGAAGTCAAAGATTTTAAAATTTCCAATGACCTACGATACGTTCTTCTAATTAGTGATATTCAGAAAGTTTATGCCTACACTGCGATAGCAAAGTATTACATCTATGAAATTGCCACAAGGTAAGAAATTGATTTTTTTTTAGTTTTATTTTTGTTGTTTTCTTATAAAAATTATGAAAAAAAATACGTATAATAATACTTTTTTTATGATCAAATGCCATTTGTAATTTACTCGGGATATAGTATCCCTATAAAGAAATAATTAATAAAATACGTAGATACCAAAGGAAATAAAAGTTTGAGTGCGCATTAATTTTATAGGCTGTAAGCTGTAATCTGAGGTGTGAGCCGGTAGACGATATAATATTAAATTATGCAAATACGATTTTACAGGTTGTAAATAAGTTTATCTTCTAACGTTTTATAATTTAAGTTTTATTGTTGTCAATGCCCACTACACATATTTACTATTTTTTTTATTTATTACCTAAACTTTGAGCAACTTAAAAGCAAATATTCTTGAACAAAGCAATTTTCTACCACTTGTAGCAACTCGAAGTTTAAAATTAAAGAATGTACTATGTTAAGTCTTAAAATGGTATTTCCGTGCGACTACGATAAGTAGAAATGATGATGGTGTCTTGTCAAAGAAAAAAAAAGTAATTTTAATTTAAACATAATTTGTTGTGGAATTTTCTTAGCGTATACCGCGAGGTTAAATTAAAACATGTTTTTTTCTCGCTCATAAATATTTTTAGAAAATTATTCGGGATAATTTTCAAAATATTCATGAGCTCAAAAAAATTTTCGGAAATATTTTAACCTATTGTGGTAATTTTTTTTATTAAAAAACAGAAATAAATTTTGATTTTCCTTATTTTCTCAACTCAGCTTGTCAGAAAACGAGATTGTTTATACGATATTATCGTGTCTTTTGTTTTTGATTTCTTTGGAAAATTATATTTCTCATATTTAAAGGGGCAACTTAAATGGCCAATACAATAAACAAAAAATAAATTCAAAAATAGCATAAAATTGTTTTTTTAATCTATCTGGAAATTTGATTATAATTTTGTAAGAAAGTTTCTTACTTAATAATATTTCACAGAATTTTTGCCTTTTCAAAATGTGTTCCGACTCGGTGATAACTTTAAAAAAATTACATTAATACACACTGGGTTTTCTATTCTAAAGGTCTTGTAATATACATCGTTTGCTTAAGCCATTTTTATTTTATATTCGATACCTATTAAAAGTATATAATGGTACATAAAAAGTACACGACAAGAAACTGGGAAATATAAAACACAATAAAACCCAACTTTATGGCGCATTTGAAGCACTTAATGCATTCAAAAGCCACAGTTACAGTCTTTTTAAATTCCTGTATTTGTTATCTCCTTTCTCTTGCTGTACTCTAAAATGTTTAAAAAATACTCGTTATAAGCATTGCGGTATCGGATGTTTGGATATAAAAAAAACATAAAATTTCGGTAACTATAAATTACACTGGTCCGCAAAATTAAATTTTTTGTTTGTCACAGGGTGGCCAATAACTTTTCCAAGGTAATTTGGGGGCGCAGATTCCAAAAATGACCATAATTTTGCTTAACTAACTCTATTTTCTGCGATATTGTGAGAAAACCGTTTTTTTTACATGTAAACATTAAAATTCGTATATTTATATTTAAAAACCGAGGACCATTGCTAATGTAGATATACAAAAGTTTTAGGACCTTAATAAACTGAAAAAAATAAATTATGCACATTCATATTTAAGTTTTTCCCTGTAAAAATGTTTTCAACAAAATAAAATCGTTTTTTAGCCAAGAACACGAAAATTTTTTGTCCGATTTTAATAATTTTTGCAACATTTTGTATCTTTATTTTAACAAAACAAATTGGCAAAATATTGAGGTGCGGGTTGTTTTGAGTTTCATTTTGCCAATTTTTGGATGAATCTTCAAAAATTGTTTATGTTACAGCACTTTAAATTTTAAAAATTGCCAAATTTTCATCTCAATTCGCTAATTGGTTCGAAAATGTTTTTATAAAATTTGTTGCTATTCTGGAGGAAACAAAGGGTTTAATATTTGATGGCCATAACTCGCATCTTACAATTCCATTAATCGAGTTGGCTTGTGCAAATAATATTGAACTTTTTTGTTTGCCAGTGCATACATCCCATGCTTTGGATGTGGGGGTCACGTTTCCTTCATTGCTTAGAAAATTGGTGGAGGGTGGATGTTTCTCTAGATTTAATGAGATTGGAGGGTTTGAAGGTACAGGTATTTACCTTTTAAATGAAGGTAAAATAATAAAGAAATGTGAAACATCATCTATACTTTCATCAACTGAAAATGTGGAGCAAGAGGAAGGTAATTCAGATGTTGCCAACTCTGCAGGTAGACTTCGCTCCCAAGTACTGACTTCTACAATTTAAAAATGAAAATCAAGTTTTCATTTCGCCAAAAAAAGTTCAGAGCTTTCAATATTGTCAGCATTAAAATGGCAAGAAAAAACTCCTGAAACGCAGAAACGAAACAGAGTTCGTCAAAAATTTGATGAAAGTCTTACTAGAGCAGAATTTCTGGAACGAATGGTTTTAGCAAAAAAAAAGGAACATACGAATAAATATTAATTTAACGTCAAATACCATTTAAGAACTCCCCATAAAATCAAATTTTTATTTATTTTTAACAAATCTATGAGCTGAAAAAAGCACATTAACTATTTAATAAAATCCTATTAAAAGAGACTTTATCTAATTAAAGGACTAGCAAATTACACATGGAAAGATTATAGGCAGAAACTCTTATGAAAATTTTGAGCTTTCTTAAGAAGCAAACTTGATAACGGTTTAACTAGTTACGAAAGAGTTAATAAATCATTACTAAAGAAGTCCAAAATAGAGGAGTTTGAATTTGCAGATCCAGCCCAATTAAAAGCCTTTATATCTTACAACAGTTTACTTTTCAATACAAAACAATTAGCTAAAGCTAATCCCAACAATATTTTATTTCAAGAAACATTTAATAGCAACCAATTTAACATTAACATTACGCGAAAGCATCAACCACTTTACAAAAGAATTTAGAAATTAAACTTCCATCATAACCTTTTTGACAAAACCATCCGAATATAATTTTTTTTTCCGGAGCAATCCTTGGAGCCCTGGAAATATCATAAGCACAATGAATAACAGAGAACACAAACCACCAACAAAAACATCCCAAAAATAATACACACAATGATATTCAGGTCGCAACTAAAAATGATTCCAAGACAAAGGCAAAATAAATGGCATCAGAAAAACCATAACAAACCTAAAGAAATAATAAACTCTGTCAATAAAACCATTACGCTGCCTAACAAAAGAAAACACCAGTCATTATCAATCGTTTAAGAATCGGATAAAGCAAAATTACACATTAACATTTAATGAAAAAGAAAGTTCTAGCGAATGTATCCAATGTAAAATACATTAATAATCAAACAAACAAACCCTATACAACAACGAAAGAAGAAAATACCACCTTGCCAAAATCCTTACTGAACATTTTGCAGATCTTATTATCATTATTATTAGTATTATTTTATTATTAATATAGTCGCGGCCAAATCTGCATGGGTGCAAGTCATCAACGGCATATGACGTCAGCGTTAAGGTCTATTCATACGTGCGCAGGCACAATCTAACGCTCGTGTTTTGTTGACTGTTTATAGCGGTGGAGGCTGTTTAAGCTGGAATCATTGTTCTACACTAATTATGAGTTTGTTAGAGGTAAATTTTGATTAAATGAGTTTAGAGAGAAGACAAACGGAATTTAGTATATTTTATTACATATGTGCATAACAAAAAAATACTAAAATACCAGAAACACAAAAATACAAAATTACCAGTCGTCTTTGTCGTCAGAGCAATCCAGATCAGACTTGCAGTCTGATTATTTCTCCAAGTTTGTTATTAAGGGCGCAATGTCTTCGCAATCGCATTGCCAACAAGCCTTGTAACATTGTTTGCACAATCCAGTGGTAGAATATGATGAACACAATGTATAAAATTATTTTATTATTTTATTATAATCTGCAACAAACGATGCTTATGGATGAAATGTCAAAATTACAAAAAAACGTCAAATATAAAATGACAGTGGGAATGAAACTGCATTAGTATTGCCATCAAAGTGTACATTCCACTTTCTCACCTGGTCACAGACCTTTCGATCATATTGTGGTGTACCTAAAATTGATGCTTCCCAAAGTGGCATATTAGCTGGTGCTTCTTTCTCTTTGGTGACATGATTTCGCACAATGTGCCGGATGTTTCCAAACCAAAACCCTTACAAACATCCACTAAACCTTCCTTACGCAGGGTGTATATCCAGCTTAGTCCTTGTTTTACCTCAGTGCCAGCTGTACCTTCTGTCGAAGAATTTCCAGCCTCTGCCTGAGGAGTGCTTTGGGTTTTAACTTGCTCTTCTGGTTTTTTTGACGGGCTGGGATTTGTTTTTGGCATTTTAGAATGTAATAATTAAACCACCTTACTGATTCTCACGGGATATTTGCAGGTTATGTTTTCTATGAAAACTTTTCAGGTTAGGTTACAGGAATTTTCAGGAAAACCCGGGTCCTAGTGCTCGGGCGCCAAATTTGTGTCGTACCTAGGCTGGTTATGGCCTTAAGTACTTCACCAAGGTTCCTCTCCGGTTGACTCTTCAGATATAGAGGAATACCTACCTCGGGTTGCTTTTATTCAGTGGAGAAAGTAGGGTTTATAAAAATCAGTTAGGGTTGGTGGTTTAATTTAAAATGCAAAAGTAAACTTAAACTGGTTTATTTACCAAGGTAAAAGTATGTACAAAATTATATTAAAATTATATACAGTATTTACAAAAGTATCGTAGACTTTGCACACAAGGGTTCTTGCATAGCCTTTAATCAGGACAGGCAAATGTTCCAGGGCTTTTCACAGGCAACTGGCAGGCACGGGCGTAGTTTTCAGTCCTACAGAGAGACAGGGCAGATTTGCAATTGGACTCTAGTGGAAAAATACATGTTGTTAGTTTATGTGTTATGCATACAGGATATACAGTTTCATTAACTCTGTTATTAAAGCTTAATATTATACGGGTTAAAGCCCTGTGATATTAAAAACAGGTTAACTTACTGTTAATATTCCACTGAGAGTTCTCTGTGATTTAGTGGTTGGTTTTCGGGCTCACAATTGATAACACCATTTGGAACTGAGCCACCAGACGACTAATTGTCCATTGAAAAATGCAGCGGTTTTATAGACGAAATTCTGATGACAGACTTGATGAAAAACAATTGAGGCCGTGTGCAATAAATCCTTCACACGGGCCGTGTGCAACAATTGTTGACAACCTATATGCGGTTGACAGCATATACTTACCAGGTATATGTGGTAAGTATATGGTTGACAGCTGTCCAAGCGCCATCTGTTAGAGTTTCGTCTAACTGCAGGTTTCTGGTAGTCCAACTCTTTCCTTGACGTCGGGTGGTTAGGAAATCGTCTCATAGATGTCGTAATGTGTATCGTTACACATTTTGGTATTCTAAGGACTCAAATCTAGGGACCCTATGGTATTATTCATGTAAATCGCCCTGAAGTTGCACTACCACTTTCACTTGATGCAATGATTTTAGCATCACATTGACAACCGTACCCGATTAGCTGATTGATGACGTGTACGTCGTTTCCTTTTGAATTATATTATTATTATTATTTTCCTACACAGACCATGGCATGTAACATAAATAAATTTAATTTAAAAAACGTATCGTAATCACAATTAACTGTTTTCAAATTATCCCCATTTAACACCACGGTACTGGTTGCAGTCAGCTGTCATATTTGTTATATGTCAGCTGTTTTGGAGTACGCAATACGTCACTGGAAGAAAACATAAAATTCTATAGCCAATTTAACGCTTAGACTGTGACCGTTCATTGACCGCAAACAAAGCATTCTTTTTGAATGGCAATGCGCCGTCAATTTGTTCTTATATCGCAATTATCTTTGTTTCCGTGGGATATATTTACAGAGAGTAAATTAATTACTAAATATAGATTTAAGATGTAGGATGTGTTGAGTAGGTGTTCTAGAAGTAAAACAAACAAGGTATTTTTACCCAGTTTGTTTATTTTTAATAACCCGTAAATAGTTATACACCCTATATTAATCATAAAAATACAAAATTTCACGAGTAAGCATTTAGGTATAAGAAACCATTTGCTAAAAAATATATAAACCATTAAAGTATTTTCACAACACTGCTAATTAAGTGGTCTTGCCTGATCCTGCTTAGATTACTGGACTGTTCTTTTCTCTACTGTGCATTTTTGCAAGTACATTAAAATGGATCATTTGTTGTATTTATTTAAAAACATAAAAAAATCAAAAATATTAACCGCCCTGAAACTAATCTTCGGTCATTCGTTGCAGAATAAGAAAGCCGTTGTCTCCCAAGGAACTGGACGAGAAGGCTCCTTACTTGCAGTACGCCACGTGGTCGCCAGATGGCACCGGAATCGCCTTCGTCCACGACAACGACATCTACTACAAACCCAAAGTGGAGAAGGACCTGGTGTGCAGGATCACCAACACCGGAATACAGGGGCTCATCTACAACGGCATTCCGGATTGGCTCTATGAGAACGAGATCCTGCACGTGTCCAGCACCGTTTGGTTTAGTCCCGATGGTCTTTATTTGCTTTACATGACCTTCAACGATACTAACGTTGGAGAGTACAGGTATCCCTGGTTCGAGAGTGACAACGTCAAGGCAGCCTATCCGAGCATCAAGTCCTTTAGATTTCCTAAGGTAATAAGGAATGTTTTTTATTCATAAAAATATAAATTTTCTATAAACTCTTTTATACTGGATACAATAAAAAAATTTTTTTATTATACCCGTTTACTACTTGAAAAAGGATAACTTTGGTGAAATGTTAAACAATTATTAGAAATGAGGCCTGTCAGAGCAAAGTCAACAATCTCCCGTCAGACTAAAACTGAGTAAATTGAGATAATTGATTTTGGTATTTTAAATTCTAGATATGTATTTTTTTTTAATATTACATTGAAATATTGTTGTTGTTAGTCTAGTAGCCAACTACAAGATCTCCAGGATGCATAGTATAGGTGAAATCTATAATTATAAATTAGAGAATGCTGACTTTGATATGAATTGCTGGATATTGCTCATTGTGTTGTGTTGTATTTTTCTCCCTTTAATGGTTATAAAATTTAAGGATACAATCAATGTGGGAAAATTCTGAACTGGACCACATAAATCTGGAGTTTCTTCTAAATCTGGGGCCAGGTTGCCTCTTGCAAAAAATTTTTTATAGTACAACAACTTATCATCTCCTTCCCACTTTGCCCCGTAATGTTTTACTTGCAATGTTTTGACATTATCAGCCTTTTCTTGCTTTACCTTTTCGTCTTATTATGGTATAATAGCACAAAATAAACAAGATAACTTTTTTATAATTCTTAAAACAATAAAACGTAGATTTACCTATTTTAAATATATTTTTTAAGTGCAATTAACTGCAATAGAACTTAACAGTATGTACCAGTAAAAAAACACAAAATTAAATCTCTAAAATACGTTATAACATCAAATGTTAGGATATCAGGTGACACAAATTACTAATTTCTAATGGTGGAATTGGAGATTGTATACTTTGCTGCAAATCTATCAGTGGAGATTGTCGACTTTGCACTAAATGTCATTTTTAAAATAGGATTTTAGGCAGGATTTAGCTCCTTTTGCAGCACATAAACTTTATCATCTTATAGATAATTAGTTGAAGTATAGTAAATCTAATTTTTGACCAAAAGTGGAGATTGTCGGTTTTGCTATGACAGGCCTCAAATATACACAAAAACAAAACACAAAGTGTTTTTCGCCAACGATGGCGGCATCTAACTGCTAAATGTATCATATTTATACTAATTATAAGCTAAGGTTGACTGAACCCTAAACGGATACAATTTACTAAACTCTGGACCGTAACCGCTTCAGTGAACACATAAAGAGAAACTAATAAACTAATTTATACAAACTAGAGTTGAGTACCGGTCCGTTATTGCTATTTAAAGATTTATTTATATTCTTATAGATGTATAAACTTTTATAATTACCCAGATAGCACAGAGACATCTTAAAGATATCTTAAAGATGTTGGATTCGGACCTTTATGAAATCTCTAAGACGTCCAGTTTACAACGTAAGTCATATTTAACCTTGTAGTAGTGGCGCCTTATATTTAACATTGGTGGTGGCGCCCGGCCTGTCAGGCCCGTAAATTTAAAAAAATCATATTTATGCTAGTATTTTTTCTTTGTGAATTTTTTACTTTTAATTTATTACTTAATTCTATTGTGACCAAGGTCACTGATTTTTTTTAACAAAAAAACCTCATATGTTTGAAATATGGGGTTAATTTTATGGGGACAGGATTATAAGGTGACATAATATTATTTCACAAAAAACTAAATAATAAATTTATTTTACCAAAAAAACAACAAATGGTTTATAAGCTTGAATAACAAAATATCGTATTAAACGTGGTTTTGATTTTTTTCCACACAATTATGACACATAATTTTGGCATGGGTCATACATAGAAATTTTTGGCTATGAAGTGTGTGGTCCTTCTGTCTACGCGACATTCTGCATACCTTTTTCTGGTCCCAGGGGGAATTAGTTGAGGTTCAACATTATCGGTAGAAGTCCCAGCTACTTCTTGTCGCCTTTGTCGTACCTCAGTTGGTAAATTTTGTTCCATAGAACGGCGTTTCAAATGCTTCTACTAGGACATAGCGCAGTTCTTCAAGAGCTTTCGCAATAATAATTTGAATTATTAGCATTGTGTATTACTTGGGCATTTATTCCAGCCACATTCATTAGCCCATAAAATATGACCATATTTGATAGAATAAAGCATAAAATATGCTAAATAATTAATATACCACAAAATAGTCGTATAACATAAATGGTGGCGCCCGGCCTTTCAGGCCGTTTTAGGTTATAACTTTTTAAGTTAGTACTGTAAGTAAATAAACATTGCACTACACCTTTCTACGCAAAAAGTTAGGAAGGTACTGAAAAATTCAGAGTTGTCTCTTAATTATTTTCATAATGATCCGCTAAATAAGATCGCTTGGGCCTGTCAGGCCGTGCGCCACCAGTAGAAGGTTAAGACGTCTTTAAGATATCTAATGTTACAAAACACACCGTCTTTAAGGTCCTTTTAACAGTATTATTAATCCGTTAAGGCGTCTTTAAGATGTTAAAAACTACATATTGAAAACGTCTTGGTTATGCATTTCTACCTACATCGCCAAAACGTTTTTAAGGTATTAAGTAATTAAAATGTAGCTAACACAGAGTGGAACACAGAGTCTACTATGTGGTAGATAATAATGCTTTTAAACTTCTAAAAATAACGTATACTTCTATTTAAAATAAAAAAAAATTGTTACATATTTATTTCTGCCTGTTAATTCAAATCAATAAAGTCAAAACTTCTTGTCAAGTAGAACCCTTCTGTCTTGAGTGTATTATAGGTGGTTATCAGGGTCAGAGACCAGGGTATCCTCCGGGCTATCAATTATTTTTTCGGAAAACACCACAAAAACGAAACCAAATTCACAAAAAAAGCGAAAACCAACACTGCGCACTGGTTTCTTCTTCTTCTTCTTCTACTGTGTAATGGCCTTTCCCTTCCGGGATTTAGCCAGTGCGCACTGCTTTGACTTGTCACTTGAGTTGTTGAACGTCGAACAGGAACATAAAAAAGAAAAACCGCTGGGTTATTTTAAGGTTATTTTGTCTTAATACTTAATTTTTAAAAAACATATTTGTTTATAATGTTTTTATTACAAGTCGATATTATTAATTGTAGGAAAATTAACCAATTTAAAAAAATTTCAGATATATATTTATTCAGTTACCCTACCCATCATCGTTGTCAAAATTCGAAATCCTACGTTAATGTTGTTTCTATTACACATAATAAGGTACCTAATTATGTCTTACTATGAAGTGGCTAATTATGGGATATAATTTCGATTTTGACTCGTCAAAATTCACTATTTTATCAAAAAAATAATAATAATAAGCGGCGGTATCAAGCATTTATAAGATGTCTTTAGAACATTAAATGAAGATATCTTGAAGACGTCTTTCAGACGTCTGTTTTAGATCTTCAGACGTTCAGGCATGATACAGACATACAAAAGACATCTTCAAGACGTTGTCTGCTATCTGGGTATCTAGCAGACTTGGTTCCCTAACTTCCTTAAGTTTAAGATTGTCAAATCCTATTCTGTGACCATCATCAAGTATATGTTGAGCAACATTTGACTTCTCTGTCCTACCAAATCTAGCAGTGGTCATAAACTTGACTTTTATGGGCTCTGTTTGAAAAGTCATTAACCTGGAAAGGCGAAAATTAAATTTAATTTTATTTACTAACTTATCTACTAGGGTGGTTTTAAAACCATTGTCTCCAGCAATGCCTTTTATAAAACTAAACTCTTTCGTAAGTTATTAAATTTTCCACTTAGTAACAGTAGATACAAAAAAGCTCAGTTTTATAAAAGACATTGTTTACCCCTTTACTAATCTAAAAAACATGATGACATATTTGGTTATAAAACCAGTTGATATATCATAGTCATTAAAAAAAATCGCTAAAAAGAAAAAATTATGCTGTATTTTTTCAATATTATAATTGGATCGAACTTTTAAAACTACTTTAGTCTAGACCACTTTTATATCATATCCAATTACCAATTATAATTATTCAGGCAAATGTGGCTGTGTTTTTCCACAACTTCCATTTCATCTGTCATTAATTTTCTTTATACCTACATAAAAATATTTTTTCTAATTTTAATTATGTTAAATGGAGCATCGACTCAATCTGGATAAAGGATCTCGGAGAAATATTACAAACGATATAAATTAAGCGGATAACATAATACAGGTAAAAGCATTTGGTATAATGGATGTTATTTGCAACACCGAGATGGAGATTGGTTGAAATTACCTAGAACATTAAGATGTTTTATTTGTTTTGAATTTAGAGATACAACTGTATTTGTAGGCAAATTAAACTTAGATTAGTCTTGACAATGAGTTACATTGCTACCTGTTTTTACTACTAACGCTTTCCAAGTTATTAAACCTAATGGAGTACAGTGGTAGATACAGCTATTTTATTGTAAATTTCTTGATAATAACTATTTATGGCACAGAAAAATTGAATTTATGGAAATATTTATGTGACTCAAGTAAAAGAACAAAAATGTACTCAAGTATCAAGCACAAAGTACAAAAATGTTCAAATATATAGGGGCCGTTCATAAACTACATCACACGTTTTTGGGGATAAGGAAATTCATTAAGCGGGGCAACCTGTATCCAATGCACATATTAACATTCTAGAATTCTAGTATCTTCGCAAATGTCTTAAACAGTTTACCGATCTCCTCCAATATTGGCAACTTCGCTTATAATTCATATACTACTCTCTAAAAATGAATTAGTCAAAAATGACTAATTACTATAGCTATTGGTGGCTGCTTTTTCACTTATACCATGATATCCCATGGTATACCATGGTATCCCATGGTATACCATGGGATAGCATGGTATCCCCGATATAATAGCCAGTTCTTACGTAAAATTGTCCGCATAATCCGAAATTGTCAGTTATAACAAAAAAAGTTTATATACAAAAGTGCTCTTTTAGTTCCACCCTTACTTCTTAAGAAGTCCCATAAGCCAACTGAATGGCTTGTGCGGGTTAGGGGTAGGAACGGACCGCGGGCTTAAAGTCCCCTCCGAAGGACTATTACACAATAGGACAACACAAATAAACAGCCATACCCCTGGTGGGATTCGAACCCACGACCTCCGGCTTGTAGTCAGCAGCACTAACCACTAGACCACCGTCGGCGAACAGTAAAACAGTTTTAGAGATATAGTCAATTTTCCATATAATAAGGAATTGACTATATCTCAAAAACTGCTCTACTTTTGTAATTTATGACAGTATTTTCGGATTCAGGGGACAATTTTACACAAGAATTGGATATTATATCGGAGATACCATGCTATCCCATGCCCATACTGCCAAGAAACCAACGGAAAGCAATAGCCAATTCTTTTATAAAATTGTCCCCTGAACCCGAAAATACTGTCATAAATTACAAAAGTTTCCATATTATATGGAAAATTGACTATATCTCAAAAACTGCTCTACTTTTGTAATTTATGACAGTATTTTCGGATTTAGGGGACAATTTTACACAATAATTTGCTATTATATCGTGGATACCATGCTATCCCATGCCCACACTGTCAAGAAACGAACGGAAAGCAATTTGAACATTTAATTGGTTAATCTACCCATTAAAAGCATTTTCAAAATAATTTTCATGAAGATAAAAAATATCACATCAAATTTTGATGATCAAAGTGTGCGGAATTAAAAATCAAAATAAAATTTTTTGGGGAAAAAAGGCACATTTTTTATTTAATTTGTGCCATACATTTTTCAGCCACTGTATATTTCCTTGCGTTTTGAAAGTTTCACAAAACTATACAAAATTAAAAAAAATTAGTGAACCAAAAAAATAAAGTAAAAAGTTAAAAATAATCTTACTTATTTTATTAAACTTGTATACTATCGGAGGTTTAGATTTTAAAACTGTTTTATGAATTGATAATTTAAAATATATAAGATTAGGTAGGTAAATAATTTGTATATAAGGATTTCAATTATTATTAACTTAGAAGCTGAAATAGAACCATCCCATACGTATGTAAGGTCATTTTTTTAGTTTTATTATACTTTAATTTTCTGGATACCTAAGTACTCAAGCAATTGAAAAGATATTTAAAAAGCAAAGAAAAAGTATTAAATTAAGAAAAGTTTTTAAATAAAAACAATAAATTTAAGAGTTAATATTATTGCTACTGTACATTAATAACATAAAAAAGTTATATTTGAAAAGTATCATCGATTTAAGCTAATAAGGTAAAACCTTAAAAACCCACATATACAATCCAGACATGCTTATGTGTCGCACATCTCAACAATATAAATAATACGACAAAATCAAAGTAATCAACATGAATATAATCAATTATATTATCATATTGCTGAGATTATTCACCTACATAAATGATAGCCTCGGACAGTGTAGAAAAGCAAACACAAATTGATATATTTATCAATGTACAGCAACAAACAACAATAATATGAAACATAAAGCATAATATAACTTGGGTCAATAACAAATGGTACAGTAGTGGACAACGGTTATGTAAATTAATTGTACATTCATAATTAACAAATTCAATCAGGTATAATTAAGTAATAAAAAGATGTCAGTGCAAACCAAATATAGCAAAATAACATAATTATTTGTATTAAAAAAATAACACAATGAAACAACAACTTCATATCAACCCTAGCTAACCATTCTTTGTTAATCTAAATTGGTTAATTGGTAATTATTGGCAATTGGGTGCGCCTGTCTGTATCCACCGACCTTACCAGAAACCGTCAACAAAGTTCCCTAACTAAATAACTCATAACTTATTTGATATGCAGAACTTGAAACAAAGTCTCAACATAATAAATAATGAATATCCATTTATAAAATAAATAAAATAAGATGAACCGTACAAAATAAAGTATGTAACGTAAGATAAATATAAATATAAAATAATAATTATAATAAATATGTAATTTGGTTTGTCCAACCACAACCATAAAATACAAAGTTCAGCTTATTCCTTCTTTCACAAAGAATAATATGAAATAGTAATAAAATACAGTTTAAATTAAATATTACATAATTAATCATTCATTATGATCTTTATGACCTTATATAATAGTAACAGTAAAACAAACATACCTAGTTATATTACCACTATTTATATCACAAACTGTTATTCGGTTATTTAAGAGTTAAATTTACTCCCTTACAATAATTTAAAAAAATATTCTCTTCAAACAGCCAACCGTAACAGTCTAAAATCTACTGTCAGATGAGAATCATAAATAACTATTGCATAATAAACAAAATAAAGAGTGTATCGAATTCTAAAGTAATCTTATTAGAGATGGGAAAATTCCCATTTGACGAAAATTCCCGGAAACTTCCCATCGAAAATTCCCGAAATTTTCCGAAAGTTTCAAAAAAATTTTTTTTATTGCGAAAATATTTTTTTTTATGCCAGGGATTTGCAAAAATATATAACACATTAACTTTTTGTCAAATTTTTGGTTGCATTAACTACATAGATTTTCTTACAGAACTTGCTTTGAGCATGATCTTTTTTGTTTTTTTGCACTATTTTGTAATAATTCCAAACACTAGATTTTTCTCTTGGCAAAACAAAACAACAAAAATGTAAGAATGATTTTAACTTTGTTTATTGTATTTATTTTGTTTACCTTTTTTTAAAAAAGTTTTTTGTGATGATGCTGAATAATACAGCTTCATTGAGGTTATGTAACATAACTTACATTATTTATACTTCTTCTGCTTTAAATTAACACACATTAAATTCTTATTCAAAGTTTCTTGGCCTTGTATCATGGCCTTAACGAAAATCAGCGGTTAAACAATTGACATTTAAATGAAAAAAACAAGGAAAGTTTCCAAGGAATGTTTCCAAGGAATGTTTCCGGTAGCTTAAAAGAAACTTTCAAAATGAAAATAAATTCCCAATTGGAAACTTTCCAAAACGGAAAGTTTCCTTAAAATGGAAACTTTCCGATTCCCATCTCTAAATCTTATATTTCGTAAAGCTTAAAAACAACCAAACGTTAAAAATTAACTGCCCCATATATCGTTTCCATTACGTGACTTGGACAATTAATAAAAACAAATTAATAATAATAACATAGCTGATATTTTATATTTAATTGTTTGCGTTTCAGGTGGAATCTCCGAATCCAGAAGTGTCGGTTTGGATAGTAAATTTGACGATGCCAAAGTATCTTTTCCCGTTTGAGCTAAAGCCCACTAACAGCGTGGAGGCTGGCAGCTATGTGACCAGCGCCAGCTTTAACGGCGATAATAACGTTGCGGTGATATGGCTGAACCGACATCAGAATATGTACGTGATCGTGACGTGTCGATCTCAAAACGCGTACAACTGCACAGATGTAAGTGACATAAACTGATATATTGTTTTAAATATTAAAATATAACATTGTTGGAGAATGCTATAAATTTTGTATTCAGGAACGCTTAAGACTACTACACAATTCATTTTTACATAAAAGTCTTAATAGCAAACTTGGATAAAATATTCATTTAATAGTTTTTGAAGTTAATTAATTAAAAGTTAAAGTTTGGTATTTCTTAAACAATTTAAATAATGATTTGCCGTTTTAGCGCTATAACTTTAATTATTATTTCTATAATCACCCTTTATCTATGTACGAGCCCCGTCCAGCTTAAGTTGGACTAAATTACAACATTTGGAACTAAGTATTAAAATGATAAATCAAAATTTTTAATTTTCAGCTCTAAGATATAGCTCATTTTACCACTAAGTAACATTACCTTAACCTTTAATTACTACTTACTAGATCCTGAAACTCCAAATGTTCTGGAGCCTTTGCATGAGTTTTTTCACTGTCCTGACAGGATTGGCTCGCAACCGCTTTTTTATCATATGCCACAAAGTCTCGATGGGTAAAAGGTCAGGACTACTGAAACCCTATTAGAAGAAGTATTTCATAGTCTGAAAGCCATTTCATGGGTTTTTTGGAAGTATGACCTGCAGCATCATGGTAATAGGTAGTAGGCAACCAATTTTACAAGACTGAAATGCCTTCCATAACCGAGCCGGGCTCGAAGCGCGTCTCCCGAATGGTATGGTCCAATGACTAATGCACCATACCCACCAACACTGACAGACAGCCTGTGTCGACCTGTTGGGTCTCATCAGTGTCAGACAGTCGGTGACGGGAGACACGCATCAAGCTCGGCACTGTTCACTTATAAAGAAATAAGTTAGCTGGACAGCGGCGAGATGTATCGGCAAGTCAATCTGGAGACATCTACCGTCTACAGACGTGGCCTCACTGTGCAGCGTGCAATCACAATGCATTTAGACACAAACAGTGCATTGACCAGCTATGCGGTATTATTTAGTAATAGGTTTACTACTTACGCCAGTTATGGGTAACCAATGTTACAAGATTGAAATGCCTTCCATCTCATCACCGAGCAGCAGCATTATCTTGCTGAAAGATGAAGTAATTTTCAGAAATCCTGCTCTTTTCCAAAGTATGCAACAAAGATGAGTCTTTAGAATATATATTTCTCTAAGTCAACAATGCCTGCAACTCCTCTAAACGATATTGCTCTGGCTATTACTGACACAAAATTTTTCACCTTGTCATTTCCAATTTCCCATTTCAACATAATATTATCGTTTTTCTGCTTTAATGTCAATCATGGTTTTTATTTAGCCTTTATTAAGGAAAAAAATAATTATCGTTGGATTAAAGTTAACTCGTCTTTTGACAGCCTCACTGCAGAGTACACTCAACTCTCTTCTTAGTTATCACGCCTATTGGAATAAACAATTCTATTAGCGTATGTTAATTTTGACTGTATTTACAAAACGACATTTGGACAGCTAACCCGTTTGCCTTATACAATTTTAGAATACTTCGAACACTGAGATTTATGTAAATTAATGATATTTGATCAAATTTTTCCATCAATTCCTTTTTCTTTTCCCATTATTGATAACAAATTGCTCTATCAATTAACGGTTTTACAATCAAAATATCTGTCAAGCGTTGCCTTCAAAGCCACCTTAATCCTTATCTTTACAAGTACTTGGGTAATCAAACTCGTACTTTTTTGACTTTTTTCAATTTTTTATGAGACAACTCGCTCTTGAATTCAGATTTCTTCTTTCTTGGATATTAGATTGTATCGGCTAGTTTCGCTCCAACGAAAGGTAATCGGCTCCATCTACCGTCACTTTTAAATGTACTCCCACACCACATGGCTGCCCGGCACTGATGAGGTCTAAAAGACCGAAACAGCCTGTTTGTAGAGGCACACTTCAAACAAAAAAGCGGAGACAAGGTAGAATTAGAAAATCCGTTTGTTGAAAGATATGTTTAATATGTAAAAAACTTTCAATACAAAAATATCTTCAACGTTCTTTAATAATAGCGAACCTAATTTGTTACATGTACTAACCCACATAGTATCAAATAACAAATTTAATTAAATTTGTACAAAACAGTTAATTAGGGTTATAAATACTTTAATTAGTTTCATATATTATATCAACAAAGTGCAACTTCCAAAATCTATGTTAACTCTAATTTAATGCTTTAATTTTGAAACCAACAAACACGAGCACAAATTGTTAAACTTGGTTAGGTTTGAAAGCGGAAAATTGTGGACGAATTATAAATTTGCTTTTTCAATGATTTGATTAATTAAACCAGCCCACAGATTAAATGTATTGATTGAACAGGACTACATTATGTAAACAGTAGATACTAATAAAGGACATTTTAAGATTTTCTAAAAAAAAATATTTAAATTTTTGCCTTTACAATATTATTATGTATGCATATAATATTAATTATAAATACCACCTTAATTAAAGTTTCATAGAAAATGCTATTAATTTCTATCATAAAATTTTGCAAATTTCTGTTTCCAACAAAATATTTAAATTTAATAATAATTACCTATGTATATTTTTGTTATGATGGTCTTGCAGTTATATCTGTATTAATTTGACCTTTTAGAAGGAGTTTTTCTACTCCTTACGGAATATGACCGTTCCAACATCACTTTTTAATGTGGAATTACATATATTCCTTAGTGTCAGTGGCGGATTGGGGATTTTGTCCGTCAAACCGTCAAACTCGCTTTCGCAAAACTATTAAATAGGTACTTTCTTTTAATTTGCTTTAATAATTTCGTATGGTGTACCCTTTAAAAATCCTCTTCACTTTCACTAAGAAGCTGCTTCTGTATCGGGTTTAAACGGTCCATTTACAAGAAAGAAATTTCGATTTTTACAGAAAAATTTGAGACACTGAAACTTACATTTTAAAAGCTGGTAAAACAGATTACTATCTTCGATGTTGTTACACAAATCACACATCAATGTGACTTACCCCTACCACTTCATACTCTCCTGTTACTTGGTCAATTCTCATATAACTTGTTCCGATATCGCGATGCTGTATCCACTTATTTTTGTGAAAAATAATTCTCGCTCAAGGTTTTTTTTAGTGTAATAAGCATGTAGCCTTTCAAGGTAATGGGAACTTAAATTATGACAACCCTAATCTATTAATTTTTTCCTAAAATGCAGGCTTTATGTTGCAAATGTCACATAAGTTACCGGTCACCAACTGCAATATCCTAACATCGATGAATATTTCAACAAAATGCCCGTTCAAACAACTAATGTTAGTGCTTGATTAACTAAAAATAGACTTAAGATTGACAAAAAATTATTTTATCCGAAATTGGCAGTAAAGTAGTCAACAATCGTAAATTAAAATAAATCGGCAGTAAAGTTTTACTAATGAGAATTTACCACTTACGGGCGTTTAAAGCGTTTTAAAAACTGTCGATTTTCGGAACCATTTTCGTTAACACATAAAATTTTAAATCTTATTAATTTTGCACTTTTAGGACTTTTCCACTCATGAACATAGACATGAAGACTAAAAACGTAAATTTTTTTAAATCTTTTTTAGAAAGTGGTAATCTCTTGTTCTTCTGCGTCTCTCACGTTCTGCTTGTCTTTTAGCTTTGTTGGTCAACTTGTTTTGTGGTTTTGTTATTTTAATTAATTTCCCACTGAAATGAAATATTTTAAATTGGTTACATGTAAGGGACACGACAATGACCATCACGGTAATGATGATTTTAGAGTGTTTTAAAATGTTTATTCAAAAATGTATGTAACAGAATTCTCAAGTTACCATTTGCTTTTTGTTAATGCAAGACTCCTTTGTATTAATGTAAATATTTTGTATGTCTATAAACTTTGAAATAATACTTACCCCGACAATGACGGACTTAGATGTAACAAGCGGTTTTCGTTTTCATTCGGCGCGTCACGACTTTATGGTTTGACATATGCTAGTGGACGTTAGACCGGCAGGATATTTCCATATCAGACGTTCAAAAACTTTTCGAAACATTTTCCGAATGTATCGCGTATTTAAATATGAAATTAGACACATTTAAAGTAGCCAGGGCAATGACACTCATGGGTGTGAAGAAAGTTTAAACGGTATTAAAAGAAAAGTTAACATTTTAAAATGCAATTCCTTGCTTGCATTGTATTATTTTGTATTTTCTTCGTCTGTGTTAGACAGGATATTGCAAGATTTAATTTGAAAATAAATGTAAGAAAATAATATGTTGTTGTTCTTCGAATGTGAACAAGGTTCGGTAATGACGTTTGCAACACAAAAATTAAAAAATATTTTTTACTATGCTCGTTTAGACTAAAATAAGTAAGGAATCAAGTAAAAATAGTTAATTAAACTAGACATCAAGCATTTTATTTTCAGTGGGCTATTAACTTTTGAAATAACAAGCCAGAACCGATTGAATAACACTTTTGAAATATTCACCCTGTTAAGCTGTGACATTACTTCCGTTGCATGCTAAAATTTCTATTTTTACAGGTAATTTAATGTTTTTATATAATTTTGTGGACTTATATTTCCCCTCTTTGCAAAAAAATTCTGTATACGCCACTAGATTCCTTGATGTTAATGTAGTCAGTAGTCTGCAGATGCCTGGAGGTCTGCTCGAATCAATTAATCAATTAATTTAGGTTAATATTTGAATTCTCTCGTAAATCAGCTGGCGGTGGCCGACAAAACTTTTACGGGTCAAATAATCGAAGGGAAGGCCTGACGCAAAACTATAAATCTATTGTCCCTTCTGCAAACATTGTTTACACGATCGTAACTCTTTTCGATGCGAAATTGGTTTTGTTGATTTAATGGTCAGCATGTGAATTTAAGAATAAAATGTTTTAAAGGTAAAGAATAAATAAATATAACTTCTACACTGTTCAAAATTTCATGACCATTTTAACACCAAATTAACACCATACATAGTCTATATCGATTCAAACCAAAAT